CTTTTGTTCCTTACCACCAAATTTTGTACATTTAATCACAAGTATCTGCTTGTAGACAATATTTATGTCTAAAAAATATAAAGAAAGCACTTGTTAGTATTTCTATAGCACTTTGTTTATGGTATACAAAAAGAATAGGGCGTGTTTTTTAATTGGGAAATACATGCAACACATTTTTTCAGTTTTTCCTAGTGAAGCGATTTCTTTCCAATATGTGTCTTTGTTTCCTTTCGTGTTTCTGGAGTGACATATAAAACCCTGCTAAAGTTTTAAGTGTTTAACAACTGTCTTCTTTAAACGGGTAACTGTCCAGACTGAAGAAGAGGCAGTTAAAGATTCTCAATCTGTAAACACGCTCATGAAAAAGAAAGGTGTGTCAGGAAAAACACAAAAAGCACACTGTGTGCCGTAGGTGGCAGCAGAGCATTCGTCTGGTTCGCTGTGCATGAAGCCCAAATAAAAACTGTCCCCAACTTAAAAGTTTAATCTTTTAAAACAACACTTTATGCCACTTGATCCCAGCTAGATCAGGTAGGAAAGGATTTGTGCAGAGCTGGTGAGAGTATCTCTCAGACAGAGACCCGAGGCTGTGACTCATCCGTGAGAATGTGACTCACAACACCTGAGAAATATTTTCTCCCTCTCCGGTTTCTGTTAGATACCTGCTGATGATGTCATCGCATCGCGGTGTTTCACAATTCATAACAAGGAAAAACATCTGCATGAACAACACGTATGTATTTTAAAGTGAAACTACACCATTAGGTAGTTTCAGTGTAGCAACATGGGATTTCTAGTTATCTGCCACAAAATGTTGCAGGAATATTATGATGGCAGTCTTACAATAAAATACGTTGAGAATAATAATTATAATAAAAAACGCTTTTATTTGTTTAAAAGTAACGTTTATGATATGAATCAACACCACGTGACATGGCTTCTATAGCCTAGGAGAGTTTGCCTTTTACTACATGTTTTACACGAAACTCAACAAGCACGTCAGGAAAATATCAACACGGAAAACAGGGGAAAAGAGGGGAAAACACCTTAATAACCAGTTCCTTGCAGTTCCTAACGGACTCCTTTCTGTGTTAGTGAACCCAAAACACTAAAAGCCGATGGTTACATAGGCATTTAACCCCCCCCCAACGCCATTTTAAAAATTCAGAGCACCTTTATTTAAGACATAGATAAATTATCTTTCTATGAGATGTAGTTTTGCTTGTTTTATTTGATCAAATGTTGTAATTTGCCACCAGAGTTGAACCAAAAAGCTGTTTTTAATGTTACACTAGCTAGTTTTGTTGGTGGGTGGGGAAGGTTTCTTCCTCTGTGTTGGGACTAGCACCCAAAAGATTCATTCTTATATTCTTATTCATTCTTATATAATACTAACTATACTGTAC